AACAAACAATCAAAAAAACGTAAATAAACACTGGGAACCAAAATAAACAGACCAATGTTTGCAAACAAAGCGAAATTTCAAAGTTTTCGAAACTCCGAATCCAAATTTTTGTAAATTTTTCAAAATAAAGTTTGTTTGCGTCAAAAAAATGTAAATAAACTTTGGAAACCAAACCAAACTACCAAAAAAACGTAAATAAACACTGGGAACCAAAATTTACAAACCAATGTTTGCAAACAAAGTAAAATTTCAAAGTTTTCGAAACTCCGATTCCGAATTTTCAAAAATTTTTCAAAACAAGGTGTGTTTACATCAAAAAAATGTAAATAAACATTCGAAACCAAAACAAACAGTCAAAAAAATGTAAATAAACATTGGAAACCATAATAAACAGACCAATGTTTTCAAACAAAGCAAAATTTCAAAATATTCGAAATTTCAATTGCAAATGTACTTACCTATACTTACCCAGTCTTCATGAGTGATCCACAAATGTTAGAAATTCATAATAATTCACTTAGAAGTAAGTTAACATATGAATACTTACCCATACTTACCCAGTATGAACTGTCCACACGTGTTGTAGATGATTTCATTGCATAATAGATCACTTAATAAACTAGAGCAATTAAAATATATATGTATGTATTATCAAAAATTTTCGAAAAACTGAAGTCGGTATTTCGGAAACTTTGAATTTCGCTTTGTTTGCAAACATTGGTCTGTTTATTTTGGTTTCCAATGTTTATTTACGTTTTTTTGATTGTTTGTTTTGGTTTCCAATGTTTATTTACATTTTTTTGATGTAAACACACTTGGTTTTCAAAAATTTTCGAAAACTGAAGTCGGAATTTCGGAAACCTTGAAATTTCTGTTTGTTTTGGTTTTCAATGTTTGTTTTTATTTTTCTGTTTGTTTATTTTGGTTTCCAATGTTTATTTATATTTTTTTGTTGTAAATAGATTTTGTTTTCAAGAATTTTCAAAAATTTGCAGAATTTTCCGATTTGCGTAAAGCTATTACGCTAGATTCGCACGGAAATATTCCATCGTTGATGTTGTTCGCTTAATCGTCTTGAAAACCTTTTTGCCTGCAGAATTTTCTCTATTCTAAAGAAGAAACGTAAACTAGATATTTTTAATTGTAGTATTTCTTGCTGAAAGTTAAACGACTATCTTTGGATGATTATTAGATTACGATATTTACATAATTGAATGATCTGTGTGACTCATATATTATGAATAGATGTACCTCGTCTGTGACGTTGTTGTCTGATTCGTTCCGAGAATTATTTATTGATTTGAACATGATGATACGTCATCAATGAAGTAAAATTACAAAATTTTAATTAAATAAAACCTAAAAACTGTAAAATTATTGATTATTGTAATAAAAAAAGTGTTTTTTGGAATTGACATACTATTACCTGTTGCGCATCATTTACCTGAAAGGTGAAGTTGAGCAAGGAAAAGTGTCATAAGTTGAGCATCTCGTCGTTGTCTAGTGACAATGTCAATTCATATATCTCGTCTGTGCTTCTTAGAAGTTATTCTGTTTTACCATTTACTGGTTTATGTCATGTTACCGTCTGATAACTTTGGAAACTGCTACTATAACAACTGATGGTACAGCAGCTACTGAGGGTCCCGTAAAACATTTGCCAATTATTAAATGAAAATGGAAAATTATTTTCTTTTTAAAAACTTTAATATTAAAACTTTATCTAATCAAAACCTGTACAATTTAAGAAAACGTTGTGTCGTGAACTTAGGAAACTACAATATGAATTTAACGAGAGAAGGTGGTAAATGAAACAAGTTTGATTTATATTTTATCGCATTTTAATGGTAGTCATATCCAAGAGTACGCCGCTGCGCGGTTGCAAGAATCATTCTTCTCTGCTTAATTACGGCTTATATTACTATAAAACGATTAGAAGCCACGTGTTATTTCCCCCCATCATTTTTTCGTCCATCTCTTGGTTTCTACGCGTTCCTCTCGAATATTCTCTCAGGGAAAAAGGATTACTTAATTGCTCTTTTACTTTCGTCGATGAGAGAAAGAACGCCAATTCAACGATCGCGCGATACGAACGACCTTCAACGTCGATTGGCTGTTTGAATTCAACCGGAAGAGAGGCGGAAATGCGAGGTTTTCTCAAGTAACAAGAACAGCAGTTTGAAAGAAGTAGAACAGATCTCAACAACTTCGTATCACTAATTGCTTTTTAACAAGTTAACGACACTTGTTAATTGAACCGGCAACGAACTGTCATTTCGTCGGCGCTCTTCCGTTCGTAACTATAGTCGATCAAAAATTCGCCTAACTTCTTTCTACCTACGCGTAACAACGTCGCGATAACATTTCTGATTATACAAACGTGTCTCTACGGTTACTTCTCTTCGAGTAGACTGAACGAAAAGGGAAAATCATCTTTGAAAGTCTTCCTCTATTCGCGAATAATTCGGTATCGAAACAATCCGGCGAAAAACGATGGCAGCGATAAGAAAGTCGAAAGTTGCTCAGAAACGTAGCGGGGGTCGTGGATCAGTGAAATGTGGCAGGCTCCCGTCGCTACGACAGCTTGCCTCGTTGTAAAAAGAAAGCAATCGCGGCTGAAACGTTTCCATTTCGTCTCGCTCGTTTTTACGACAACGTAATAAAACATGTGGATGTTTAGTGCTCGTCGTTCGAGCTGTATAAAACTGCTTCAAGTTGGCTAAGATACTTTTTTACAATTAATGTGTGTATCGGGTCGTTCTATAAGTAATGCGATTCATTCTTTTATAAATTACAAGATACGGTATTAAATTAGATTAACACTCGAACGAGAGGAGACACTCATTAATCAACACTCATATATGAAACGTTATTTATATAACAATGTCATTGTATTTGGAAGGAAAAGGTAAATAAAGAGCAAATTCTTTCTCAACATTCAAGTGTTAACGTAATTTTGGTACGTTCTGTGTTCTCCCTCGTTTTCACTCTCTCTCTCTCTCTCTCTCTCTCTCTCTCTCTCTCTCTCTCCCTCAAGTTTTCTATTGCTCGTTTTATTGAGCTTTCTGACTTGATTCTCGGAAAAATCATGTTGCTTATAAAACGATCGAACTCCAATTGTTGTTTCATCGAAGATTCGACAAGCCTTGGCAAACGAGATAAAGCACGATACATTTAACAGGAGAATTTAGAGAATTTGCAAAGTTTTCAGAATTTGAAACTCATGAATGTTCAATGGTATCGCCTCGCTTTCTTTCGTTAAGTCGTAGTCTATCGGATAATTTAAGAAGAGACTTCGACAGTGAATTACTAAGCTTCGCGCGATTAAACATTAATTTGGCACTTGCACTCTTGAACGTGATTTTCCTTCTAATTTTATCTCGCGCCGATTTACATACAACGTCACTGCCACATCCTGTTTCTTTCCCTCATTCTTTTCCCCCCATAATCATTCGAGGAAACGACCAGTTGCTTTTAATACTACTTTTCCTCACGTACATTCGTTCCTCTCAACTTCTTTCAGTCCATCCACGGATCCTATGTAACTCAGGCCTAGCTTCGTTTATCGTTAAATCGTCGTTTATACATATACGTCACGATTCACGTGGATTACACGTCGACTGTCGCCAACAAATTTTGTTTCTTCCTCGTCTTTGTTCGACAATTCGAGAACCTCGACGGAGGACCGCAGATACTCGGTTTTACACGCTTCGTTTCGTGTCGTTTTGTAACGTTAAAGGCAGGCAGAAGAGACGTTAACATTAATTGAATCGCAACGCTTGAAGAGAGAAATTTTCGAAACATTTCGTTAATATCAACGAGACGTTCTCATCGGAGAAATGGGAATCGAAAACAGCAGTCGACGTGTGTCTAAATAACTCGAACGCGGGACGCTTGACGAAAAGGATATCGATTTTATAAAATTTCATCGGACAGGTGTCTATATGTTCGATGCGTACGTATCGATCTCGCGTGTATAAATTCTACGTGTCAACGCGTTTACGCTTCTCTCTTTCGTTATTACTAGACCGTGGATGTTTACGCAAATTTAGACCTTTTATGAACACAACTGAATAAATGGAACCTATGTAGAAATTTAGCACGCTCGTTGAATACTCTGAACGTTTCGTAGAATATAGAACATGTTCGCGTCATTGAACTTTCCATAAATGCATAAACATCCGTGATCTAGTTATTGCTCCTCCTGCTTTATCTTACTTTTTTTTTTTTTTGTTCTTTCAACTACTTCCTGGCTTTTATTTTTTTTTTTTTAATAATTTTTTTTGGGTTTTTCCTCGGTTTGACTTGTTCGCGAGCTCATAAACGTTCGACAACGTATGTATCCTACTAGACTTAATTGAATAAGTATAATAATAAAACGTGTAGTAAATATAATGTGTATATATACACGTATATTTATATATTATATATATATAATACATATATATATATATATATAATTCTCATATATCGTGTTTGTCGACAAACCATTTAAATGTCACCTAATGAACGTCTTAATCACGTTACACCTTCCGACTAGATCGAAATTTATTATTAATATTATTAATATTATTATTATTATTATTAGGGTTATCATTTATTAAATAGTTAATTATTATTATTTATTTGTTATTATTATCGTTATCGCTAATTAATATAGAAATTTGGCGCATATATTTTTATCATTTGGCGTGTCTGTCGTTTCGCGTCGACAAATAAATTCGTCTAATTTGAGCCAGACGAGCGTATTGTATTTTTGTCTTTCTTTTTTTCTCTTTCGTTATATATATTTTTATTTCTCTCCTCTGCGCGCGAACCGTGCTCTGCTCGAGATTTCACGCCGCGTTGGATTCTTTTTTAAATTTAAATATCGAAGATAACATTATAGAAATTTTTAATAATAAAAACGTGAAACGATGAGCTTTTGCCCCACTTTTTTTTTCTGTATGTACGTGTGTTTTGTGTGTGTGTGCGCGCGCGCGTGCGTATGCGTGAATGTGCTTGTTTCGTTATACCGATGTTTATTTTTACGAATTTCCAGCAACCTGGAGTAAGTAATTACTCACCAGATGTGTTGTACATTCAGGGAGCATTTTGTACATAAATATCCCTAGGTACGTAAGCCTGCGCTATGATTAAATCTTTTGTTTTTTCGTTTCATATAAAAAAGAGAAGAAACAATCGGAGCAGCGACTTGTTCCGTTACGATGTATTGTCCACAAATTATACATTGGTTGGGTCTTCTTTTTTTTCTTTTTTAAATTATCGTTACAATATAATACCGTGTTCCATCGAAGGGGGAGAATCGATGATCGAATGACTCACATGAGGTTGAATTTTCTTTATCTTTTTCTTTTTTTTTTTTTTTTCCAAATCGGAAGCCTCCGTTTTTAATTAAGTACGATCGGAATACTTCGTGTCTGTTTACCGGCAAGCAAATTCTTACGTGAACATACGGTGTTACAATTGAACGCAATCGAAATATACAAAATCTTAGGATTATTAGACGCGTTTCCACCTTTCGCTTCCTGTACACGTAGTACATTACACGCATTATACGATTACGATCTACGCGGTGTCGAAGAACTCAACGAACGCAATATCAACGCTGGAAGAAGACGCGCGCGAACATCTGTCAGAAGCATTCATCGATGGAGATCTTCGTCAGAAGTCAGTTCGTGCAGACTTTCTCGCATTATTCTTCTCATCCTCTCTTCACGAAACTAGAAACTCGAGAAGCCAACACTGAAAATTCATCTCTTCCCGTTATTCGTTTTCCTTCGTTCGCACGATCTTCACGATTCTCGGGTAGTTTCCGGGGAGTCGAGGTACACGCGTCGAACATCTCCCGCTTCGTTCTGGTTTCGACGTTTCCCGATGGATCCTCGACAGCTCGATGACTTCCGGTTCGTCAAATGCCAGCACAGGGCAACGTAATCTCGTAATCGGGACGTGATGTTCGGCTGCTACTGTATGGAACACGTCAATGGATGTGACAGAGCGTGGTCCAGCAGAATCGGAGTACCCGCGGCCAATTCCGTTCTAGCGTCGCCGAAATCGTCGTCGCAGTCGAAATAGTTGCTCTGCAAAAAGAAACGAATCACGTGTTTCTGTGGATCTAATAATGACAGCTGGTCTCGCGCCGTTTGTTAAGGGAATACATGTTCGCAGTGCAGTGAGTAGAGTAATTGATAGAAAAATGAATGAGGGTAGTTCTTTGACTTATTAATTTGACACGTCATCCCGTTAAATATGCACGAAACAGTTATCTTCTCTAGTACTCTAATTTTTTAATGTTCTTCAACCAATTGAACCTTCAGATAAGATATCTACGGTAAATTTTCGAGGTCGAAGCTCTTTGACATTCAAGATCGAAGCTCTTTGACGTTGAATTCCCGAGATTCGATTCTTTCGACACTCCAGCCTCCCGAGGGTCAAAGTACGTTCAACGTTGAACCTATGTGTACGAGTTCAAAGCTTTCTCGTTATCGAATAATTCGAGGTGGAAGCTGCCCGGCGGAAAGGGCTTTAGCTGACCAGTTAAGCTGACCATTAAAGGGTCGAAGGTTTCAGGGAGGAAAGTTCACGCGAAGAAAAATATTAAGCTTGGAAATTCAATGCCAGTGCAGGGTCCAACCTTGGAAAGCTTCGTGAGGCCCAGTGTGAAGATTCTCTGACCGTAAATAGCCGGAGAATACACGGTTAAGAAACATGCGGACTTAAGAAAAAAAAAAAGAAAAAGAAAAGGAAATAAACAAGAAGGGAACAAGAGGAAGGAAAAAAATTCTCGTTAGCTCCGAGATTCTCTAAATGCGCGCGAGCACACGCTAAAATTTCCAGTGAAATGAAAATGGCAACGGGTGGTTAACCGATACGCGATAAAATTTTTAATTAAATTCAGACGTTTCCGCGTTTCATTTTCTTCCATTGGCTTTTCGAAATGGGAACGCCAGCTGATCGTGGCCCCTCGCGCGCGCGCGCGCGCGATCCCGAAAACTGGGGCAAAGAAATATTTACGCGCTCAGCCCGAGAAAATGGCCAATCAATGGAAACCACGGAAGCGGCCCCCTCCCCGGTTATAATTGGCAACGCAAAGGGTTTTAGGCAATTAGTTCTACGCCGAGGGAGTTAATCCCTTAATTTGCAATGCTATTCTCGCCAATTCGCGCTAATTACATGCACACAGGTAAGTGCCCTCGCGAATTACGCCGATCAGGCTGCGGTTTGTAAAACAACTGAATTTCCATCGGAAATTTTTTTTAAGAGCGTACCAACTTTCTTTCGTTGAAATTCCTCTACGAAGATTTTTCTATCATCTCTTAATTAAAAAAAAAAAAGAAAATTATTTTGTTTAGAATTTTAGCACACCGTTCATTCGATCAGGCTGCGGTTTGTAAAACAACTGAATTTCCATCGGAAATTTTTTTTAAGAGCGTACCAACTTTCTTTCGTTGAAATTCCTCTACGAAGATTTTTCTATCATCTCTTAATTAAAAAAAAAAAAGAAAATTATTTTGTTTAGAATTTTAGCACACCGTTCATTCGATCAGGCTGCGGTTTGTAAAACAACTGAATTTCCATCGGAAATTTTTTTTAAGAGCGTACCAACTTTCTTTCGTTGAAATTCCTCTACGAAAATCTGAAGATTTTTCTATCACCTCTTAATTAAAAGAAAAAAAAGAAAATTATTTTGTTTAGAATTTTAGCACACCGTTCATTCGTTGTATTTTAATAGTGCAACATTGTAAGAGAGTGAGGAAAAAAAGATAAAGTCTAAAGTTTTCTCCCTGTGCTTGTAATAAATCATGCCACGTTCAATCTTCACCTGACAATCGATGCACGGGCAGCTATCAGTCAACGAACAGGTAAGACCAAGAATCTCGACAGCTTCTTTGTACAGTTCGGCGCTTGATTTCCGTTGTCTGGGTGGCGTGGTCGGCGCGCTGACTGTACCCGATGGTCTTCTGCTTCTCTTCAGCCTCGAAGAGGACTCTCGAGACAAGGAGGAGGTCGACGTCGATCCTCTCCGTCGATTGTCACTGGTGAGCAACGCTCGGCCCGCCGGCGAGGCGAACAGTTGCAGCATATCCATGTCCTGCAGTCAAACATCATCAATTGCTTCTTTTTTCGTATTGAACTCCGCGCGAAATAAATATTTTCTAGGTTTAAATACTAAGGAACATAAAATTTAGGGAAGACACGTTTCTACAATTTTTTCGCATCGACCAATGAGAATTCAAACGTTTCTTTTGATCGCCAAACCTCACACAGCCTCGATAAATTATAATTATTGCTAAGACAAATCAGACTTTAAATCAGTTTCCTTTTAAAGTCCAACATTCATCGTCGCTACGTTATTTTATTTCCGGTATCTTTCCACGTATGTAATTTTTCATCCATCGCACGAGAACTTCCCTTTTCGAATTTATTTTACATGCAAAGTCTCTCGCAAAATCTGTGCTGTTCAAGTTCATCGAACGTTCTAATTACACTGTTCGCTGAACGTGAAATGTTGAGTTATCGTCGAGCACGAGTTACTCGTAACTCAAAGGGGGCCGCGGATCGACAAAGTCGAACGGGTTAATTGGCTTTTGTTAAGGTTGATTATGTTCGTTTTTGCTGGTCTGCATCGTTGACTCTCGTTAGTTTTCCACGGGTGAAAGCTGTTCGGTTACTGCCCCTCTCCCACTCCCCCCTTCCTCCTTCTCTACGCTCCTGAAGGGCATTATTCCCTTAATGAGCTAAGACGTAGCCGCGAGTATTTCTACCCTTCTCTTCCCTCCCCGTTTCGTTCGCTTCCTATCGGCAACAACTCTCTTTGAGACTTTTCCACCCGCGAACACGCCCACAGGCGAGAGGGATTTTTCTAACGACGAGCATCGTCACGCCACGTTACAAAGTCCCCTTGGCTCTCCTTTCCCTCTCGCCGTGGAGAAAAGAAGCTTCGCCGTCCGAAAGAAACTTCGCGTCTCATGGAGCTGGATTATCAAAAAAGAAGCGAGCGAGTGCATTCCCACTCCTTTGAATTCTTCTTTGACGTATCGGACGCTTCGAGGCGATTACTTGCCCGAGGAAACGTACGTGTGATACTCTCCCTCCTACTTCTTCTTCTTCTTCGTCTTCTTCTTCTTATCTCTTTCCCTTGGAATTAGAATAGAGCGCGAAGAGAACTTCTTCCAAAGTGAAATGAAATTCTAAACTTTGATTTTAAATTGTAAGTAACAACAGCGGTGTTGGTGTTTTAAAATCTTGCGGTCGTAGCGAGAGTAGCCAAGTTTTACGAAATTTAATACACTTGAATCGAGTTAATCAAGTGCTGCGACAGTTATGATATTGCTCGAGAATTCAGCTTAGAATTCTCATCTTAAAACACATTTTCTTGTGCACTTTGTGTTATCAAATAGCTGCACTTAACAGGCGTCATTGTCATTCAACATTCTCTGAATGTCATCCTAATGAATTCGATAATTAAAATAGAGTAGACTGGAATTGCGTGTCTACAAGCACACAACGTAAAAAACGTAAATTCGATATTTTACTAATTATTCTGATGGAACGTTAAAACGTATAAACATCCTCCTTTCGTGGAACTTCGCGACATATAAAGAATTCAACGCCCGTGAAAGAAAATTAATCATCTCTGAAGCACGAAGTAAAAAGGTAACTCAGTCCTCCTGTTGCCAGTTCCCCTGTTCATTTCGTTAATTAGCAACGGCTCAAAAGGTACTCGCGCGATTCTTTCAACTAATTTTCACCGCTCAGTAACAAGCCACTCTCGAGTTTCTATTGAAATTAGAAATTACAGTTACATTAAGCCGTTCTGACGCTGCGCGAAAGGGAACACCGCGCGATTTTCCACGCGGGAAACAGCAGTTGAAAATTCGACTCGTGACGAGAGCAGAAAGCCTCGAAGACAAACGACACGAGATACATACATAGTTTGTAATTTTATTAAATGAAATTGTATTTAACAAGAAGAAAATGTCCAGTACAGAAGTTATTAATTCTGATATAGATGCGCTCTTGTTCAGAAATCTTAGGACAAAATTTTTAATTAAATTTTCATATTGCACGCATTATATTTTATAATGCAATAATCGTCGATATAGTATAAAATATATACTATATATTTAAAATAAATTAAGAATATATACTACACATAAAATAAGAATATATACTATATATAAAATAAATGTATAGTGCAGAAGTTATTAATTCTCATATAGATGCACTCTTGTTCAGAAGTATTAGGACAAAATTTTTAATTTTTATATTTTCACATTGCACATGTATTTTATAATGCAATTGTCGATATAGTATAAAATATATACTATATATTTAAAATAAATTAAGGATATATACTATATATAAAATAAGTGTATAGTGCAGAAGTTATTAATTCTCGTGCGTATACGCTTTTGCTCAGAAGTCTTAAGACACTTCACAAAATTTTGAATAAAATTTTTACGACATTGGATGACATTGTATTTTATAATGTAATAATCAATACAGTATCAAAAATAAAATATCCAGTACAAAGGTTACAATAGAACACATTCAAAACTCTCAATAAAGTTTTTACAATGCAACAATCGTGCAATATAATGACTTTTTTAGATTTTTTTTATTGCATAGAGCATTATTTTCTTTTCTCAGTTTCGAAGAGCAGATAATTTTAAACTTTCTTTTGTGCGCCATTGTACGCGCAAGTCGCCAAGTCGCAAACTCTTGACGATCGCGTTAAGGTTCGATCGAATTTTACGACAAGCAACAAGCGTGCTTAATTATCGGCAGCGGATCATTAAAAATTCTTCCTCCGGTTGCTACGACGCGTTAAGGAACAAACGATTCTCGCTAATGAGTACTACGCAGGAGCCGTTTCGCCGGAAGAAAATAATTGGAACGATCCCGGCCTAATGCGCGAAGAAACTCGCAGTGTAGGAAGACGTGTCGCGGTAATTTGACGGCCTGTTAGGAAAACTCAGTGACTCGTGGAAATATTTTCCAGCTAAGCTGGCTTGTACTCGGCGATACTCTCTCTTTTCCCGTTTTGTGAAACTCTGCCTGCGATATTGCAGAAATATCGAAGCGAAGCGATGAAATTTTTAACTCCTGCAGTTTATTAAATGCTTTGTAGAGATTTGTTATGAACGCTCTATATATATATATATATATATATATATATATATATATATATATATATATATATATATATATATATAGACTGTTCATAATAAATCTCTTTATAATTTCAATACTGTTCGTAATAAATATGCATTAATATAAAATACATTTTTTTATAAATAGCGTAGAAAACAACGAGGTCAGATGACTTGGCACTGAATTGAATGTGTAGAATTATAAAACGATTAAAATAGAATTCAATTTGTTTGAACATATATCGGAGAACAAAAGGTTAAAGTCCAGTCCCTATAGAATTTTCCCTCCTCCTATAGAATTCTTATCCCCCCATAGAATTCTTTTCCACTACCTATTAGTCCACATAATGGGAGCTCGCATTCAGATAAATGGATTCAATCGGCGAAAAGTTCAGGTGGTCGGACGTTGAATGAAATTTTCGAGCCAATAAACGGTGCTTCCATCGCGCTTAGAAAAATGTTATCGAACGCCTTAATTCCAAATTTAATATCTATCAAAATAATTAAATTAAATATCCATCAAAAGAACACTCGACATCCGGTTAAGCTAAATATTCAAACAGAACATTGAACGTTGCGTTACTGCGCAGCAATTTATATAACGTAATTTCGAAACGAGCCGATCGCTTTTAGCGATGAGCAATTATTTCACGACGGAGGCAGCATTTGCATTGGGAGGTTCGAGACGTAGTCGAAAAACTCTCCACGGAGTCGTGCAATCGAACGGAGCGCGGAAAATACACGCCGGTTAAAAGCCTTCTCGCCTCGGGGCCCCGGGACTTTCTAACTATTACCAACCATAAACGCTCGCGAAAAGGGGGGATGCGCTTTTAGAGCTCGGTTCACCATCGTTTGGAACGATTCCGCCGCCTCTCCCAAGAATGGTTTTAATGCGTTCGCCGTTGTTTGCTTTGCGAGAGAATCGACGAGTCGTAAAAGCGAATTCGGTCGAATTCACCGGTTAAGAAGTTTTCGGCGATTCCGCGTCGGCGGGGAATTTTCGAAATTGAATCCTTGGCGATTAAAAATTAACCCACTCACGGTATATTTTATCCAAGATCTGAGAACATAAATTTTGCTCTTTAATCAAAATGGAAGAGACGTTGAAGTCAACACGCAGAATAAAAATCATTTTACGTTCCATGGTTTCCACGTTTGCGTAGTGTAATCACTGTTGGTTGTATTCCTTTTTCTAACACGCCGGACCTCAGAAACCGCGAGCGAGATTTATTTTGAAATATTCCGCGCGACTGAAGCTTGATTAAAAAGTTTCAGCGAGCCGCCACTGAAATTTCACGCAAACTTTCACTCGCAAGACTGCCCCGGCGAATGGTATTTGAAACCCTAACAATGATCCCCGGCGCGAAGTTTCTCTTCATCAAGGCGGAGAATATGGAATTCTTCTTTAGCTCGCGGTGCAAAGAGTTAATATTTGGCCGGCTGGTCAAAGTTTAAGTCGTCCTGGGGGCGAACTCGCCGTGGATTTAAGTTTCATGAGCGCGCCAGCCAACGCGATTCCGTGACGTTGGAGAGCAGACCCGATTAGAGCTGAATCTCTTGAAAATACACCGACAGGGGAAAGTGGTAGTTCGCACGGTGTCGCGGATAACGAAACTTTGCAATTTGCAAAAAAATTTCAACACCAAGCTGCTGCTTTAACTTAAGAGCATCGAAACTTTCAGAAAATTTTCAATATTTTCAATCAAATGTTAACATCTCACATCTGGCATTTCACATATATTCTCCATCTTATATTCAGGATTCCATTCTACTTTGGTACAATGTCCTACATGCACAAAGTACTTCCTAATATGCAAATTTGCATATTTCACACGTATACATTCCTTACAATATTTGCAATATCTCACATCTTTCTACCATATTCAATATTTACAATTAACATCACATAGTCAATATTTTCCATCCCATTCCACTG